GACCCACATTTCTCAGACAACACCTAGTACTATCGTCATATATTCCTTGATAAATACTCAATCATTATTTACATTATTCGGACTATTGTCCTCATCTTTTTCGCCATATCTATCACAACGTTTCAGCCATTGTACGCTCCAGCCTTCTTCAGGTGGTTGGGATGTCGAACCGAGCCCTTTATTTCCCTCACTGGGGTAGACTGTTCTAGTTGTGATAGATATGGCGAAAAAGATGAGGACAATAGTCCGAATAATGTAAATAATGTACATAATACCTCATCTCAGAAATATAGACAGATACTGAAGGGTGATAAATATGGCGACAAAGATGAGGACAATAGTCCGAATAATGTAAATAATGTACATAATACCTCATCTCAGAAATATAGACAAACACTCAATCAGTCAGTTATGTGCAATGCGTGATACACGCTTAAGCAATCATGTATCTTTCGATACATGACTGACGAGTCAGTTTTTTGCCCGCAGTAGGTTGCCATTTCTTTCTGCGGTAGACAAATTGCCATCCAAGGCTATAGGACCCGGCCTGATCTTCTATTTACCCATAGCTGGGGAGAGAAGAAGAGGATTCATACCTTTCCCAAGGGTATTGTCACGTAAATGAATGTAATGGTTTCAACTGGAATTGAACTCGTATCTCCGATTCCTCAATCCGAGCTGCTATCCACTGGCGTCCATTCTTTTTAAAACTATTGGGTTGGTGCAAAAATAATGACGTAAGAATGTCGTTTTCTGACGTTAAAAAATACGTCAAAAAACGACATTATTACGTCATTATTTTTCCACCAACCTAATACTAAAACAATGATAATAAGGATAATTCAATAATTTAGATACTAAAAATTCTTAATCGTTTATTGAAAATGTCATGTAATTTGAGGAAAACTATTATTTTTCGAAAGGTTTCTTGCCATATTTTATGTTTGCCGCTACCCTTCTTCTACATTATCTTTGTAATGACTAAAAACCGTTATGAGCCTCAATCGTTCATATGCCAAATTATATTCTTTTCTGGACTTCCTGAATTAATGTCAGCGCGAGATTGTTTAGCTTGAAGCTACGTTCTTCGAATGAAGCTTTTCTTCTTGCGAGAATGTGAGAGACTGATACTTCACTCTCGTATCAGGCGCTAATATAACCCCCGGTAAGGGTACCTCGAGGCGGTGTAGTGGTTAGCAAGCTTTTCTCGCTAGAACAATTACGACTGTATAGTGAGTCCGATCGTTACTGGACGCTCCTTTCTTTCGGCCTTGTGCCACATCTAAGCTACGCTTGGAAAATCACTATAGACACCGGCAGTCACACATATATACATCTAAAGCTCAGTAGTGACAACATGTTTACATGTTGGAGACACATAATAATTGTTTATCGGCATATCAACTCCTTATGGGTCATATAATGTTGAAATTTAATCTTCTTGAGAGCATTTGATTTATAAAAATTTATTGCTGGTAATAATTTTTTTCTAAACTGTATTACTGGTAATATTTTTACAATGGAAATATATTGGTATCTGTCTATATTTCTGAAATGAGGTATTATGTACACAATTTACATTATGCGGACTATTGTCCTCATCTTTGTCGCTACATTTATTACAATGTTTCGGCTGTTGTACGCTCTGGCCTTCTTCAGGTGGTTGGAATGTCGAACTGAACACTTTATTTCGCTCACTGGGGTAGAGTGTTCTAGTTCCACGTGCCATGTTTAATGGATGTCAATTATTAGTTATCCCCTGTTAATTCCCCTCTCCAACTTCTCCACTACCTTAACCGGGTATTGAACTCACACTCTTTGGGTCCTATCACTGGATCTAACTAACGCCTTTATCCACTCTGCCATGTGTCATTGAGGAAATATGTAGCTGATATTTTTACTATGAAAATGTACTTTTTTTTAGTTTTTGTAGTGTTTTGACCTCAGTTTGGAGGGTTAACTATTTGCCTATAGTTGGGAAACCAATAAGTGCCAACACCTCGGGTCAGGGTTGACCTGGGGACAGCATCAATTAAGAGGAGTTTCCATGCTCTTCAAAACCCTGTCGATCACAGGTCTTGCTGGCAAATGGGCTTTATCATCGTACCCAGAACGGGCAAATAATAATCAGCAAGGCCCCTGATCAGGAGGTTTTGAGGAGCGTGGAATCACCTCTTAATTGCTGGTGTTCCCAGGATCACCCTGACCCGGGGTGGTAGCACCTGTTAGGGTCCCAGCTATGGTCAAATAGTTAACTATTACCAGCAATAAATTTTGGAAAAAATTATTATCAGCAATACAATTTTGAATGAAATATATTACCACATCTTTGTCGCCATATTTATTACAACGTTTCAGCCATTGTACACTCCGGCCTTCTTCAGGTGGTTGGAATGTCGAACTGAACCCTTTATTTCGTTCACTGGGGTAGACTGTTCTAGTTCCACGTGCCATGTTTTATGGTATGTATGAGAGCACATTTCAGGTCAACTCTCCGAGGCAACTGGGTCTTCTGAATTTCTGGTGTGAAACTGATTACACAACCTACTTTGTTACCTTTTACGGCGAGGCCAACACATGCTGCGGCCACTACACATCAACTCCTGTTAGACCAAACTTTCCTAATTGACATTACCTTCAACTCAGACCTCTATAGTTTCTAGCCTGAATCATATCCAATGTTTCTAAATGTGTACGGATACCAAGCCAAATGTAATCATTTCTTACGTATAATCTTTGCTTAAATTATTTGTGCTAGACTTTTCTCTTTACATATAAGCAATCGTAGACGTTACTGTTTGTAGTATTAAGACAATTGCGTCGAGAGACTATGCGTTTAAGTTTACAATTTCATATTTGTTTAAATTTCCCTTTTATCCAGAAGAAAAGCACGTGCAGGTGTTTGTCAGCCGTCTGATTAATTATCGATGCGAGAATCGGTTGATGCTTTCGTCTGGAGAGTACAACGAAGGACAATTGTTTGTCTCGACAATAAAACTAATCGACCGTCTTTTAATTAAATGTCGAATATATAGCATATAATTTGTGCTATTATTTCCAATGTCTTCAACTTCGGGCGGAATTTCTTTCCCTTCATAAACTAGAGTTCACACACAAGGGAAAACCTAGAAAAAAACTTGTCTAACATATCAGTTCTGACTTTATTTGTCATTGTTCGATTTTCATTTTCTAAATCGTAATTTCAAATGGGGATATATCTTTCCCCCCTCTTCTTTGCTTGTGTTGTTTCAACTATACGCTTTTTAAAAAATACACTTCGTTCTTTTCTCTTCTTTTTAGAGACATTTATATTCATTTTCAAAGCATTTTTTTCGTTCTATCTTTCTTATATATAAACATGATACAAATGTAAGAAATAATTGCAAAATATCTTTTCTTTCCTTTTTACATCAATTCCTTCGCTCTTTTTTAAGTTCGTTCTTTGATTGTTCTGACAAAGACTTTTTCATTCATTTATTTTTAATGTGTTTCATGGATTGACCTTTTAAGTCATATCGAAAATCTTACTCATTTTTATTCGAGTCAATCGTCCATTCTTTATCAAATTCATTCTTTTTTGTTGATACATTTCAATTCTTTAGTTTTCTTTCTTTTTCTAACATTTTCTCTTTTTTAATTTTTCTAGCATAATTTTTTGTATTTCGTTTATTTTCAAATTCATTCTTACTTTATTTCTTTCTCTCTTTTTCTTTCTTTATTTTTTTTTATTGTTTTCTTTAATCTTTTTTACTTTTTTTTTCTTCCCTTGGTTATTTGTTTCTTTCTTTCATTCTCTATCTCTCTTTCTTTCTCTTTGTCTTTTTTCTTTGTTTATTTTTCTTTCTTTCTTTTTTATTTTCATTTTTCTTTCTTTTCTTCCTTTGTTTCTTTGTTTGTTTCTTTCTTTCCTTTTCTTTGTTTCTTTGTTTCTTTCCTTCTTTCTTTGTTTCTTTCCTTCTTTCTTTATTTATTTCTTTTTTCTTCGTTTCTTATTTTTATTTATTTCTGTTTTCTGTCTTTACTTTTATTTTTATTTTTCTTCCTTTTTTTCTTTTTTCTTTGTTTCTTTTTTCTTTGTTTCTTTTTGTTTGTTTGTTTGTTTCTTTCTTTATTTATTTATTTCTTTCTTCATTTTATCTTATTCCTATTTTATCATCTATTTTATTTTTCTTCTTAAATTCTTTCCTTTTTGTTGTCTCATCTTCGGCCCGGTATCTTACCGCTTTCGTTTTATATATGATTTTGCAAAATGTTTCTTTCTACTTTCGTTCTCCTTTACTTTATATTTAATTTCCTTCTTCCATTCTGCCCACCTGATTTTCCTTTATTCCTTTTCTCCTTTTAAATTGTTTTTCATTATTATTTAATTCATTTATTATTATTCTTTTTTAATTCTTCCATTTTGCCCTATTCCGTAAAATGTTTTGTCATCTTCATTTTTATTCTTTCTTTTTTCAACATTATTTTTTTTATTTTTACCGTTCGTTTTTAAATTCTTTTTTGTATGTTTCATCAGTATTACGATTTTCTTGATCATTCGGAAACTTCGTTAATAACTCCACCTTCTCTCAACAATTTAATTTTTCACTTAAATACTCCAATACTAGTGATCACCCAATATCGATAGGTTGGCTAAGAAATGGAATACTGATGCACAGACAACTTGATGCTAAGTGCAAAATATTAGGACTACATAATCACATAAAACACTAAGGAGCCGAATTTGATAAGAAAACAAAGAAGCCTGTAGAATAAACGAAAATACTGATTTCAAACAGGCGGCAATGTTAAAATATAAAGCACTAGAATTGTCTTATCTTAATTGTGCTCTTGGGGTGTTTCATGATAAAGATGTGACTTTCCCGTCGCACCATCTGAAAAGTGTGAGGCTAATTATCAATGGATAAAAGGCAGATATAGGAACGCTAAATATATTTGAACAGGAAACTGTTAAAAAAAGTTTATCTGTCAGTCTGTGCTTAACGATCTATCCATCTCAGTTCATATCTATCTATCTATCTATCTATCTATCTATCTATTATCTCAGTCTGTTCATATCTATCTATCTATCTATCTATCGTCTGTTCATATCTATCTATCTATCTATCTATCTATCTATCTATCTATCTATCTATCTCAGTCCGTTCGTATCTATCTATCTATCTATCTATCTATCTATCTATATATATATATATATATATATATATATATATATATATATATATATATTTTATATATATATATATATATATATATATATATATATATATATATATATATATATATGTATGTAGAGATACGTCTTGTAATTTTACAAAAGAATGATTCATATTCGCAGCTAACATTCGTAGTTCACAAATTCCATAAAACCCTTCTCAGCCAAACTGTATTTTCTTTTATGCTGTACATCTGCAAAGGACGTGGGTGATCATGGCTCTCTACATTTTCCTATTTTTTGTAGCTCTTAGTAACCTTTGTATACTATTCCGCCCAGACCAAATCTACAGTCCCTTTACACAACCTTGTTAAATACATTACTATCTGTTTCCTTCTCCCCCATTGTTTGTAATTTGTCCCGTGAGTGTTAGCTTTTCCTAGCCGTCTTTCCTTATTTTGCGTGTAATTAATTTCAACTGTCACTTTCTGATTCTATCTACAAGTCTACGTTTTACTCGCTTTCATTTTCCCTTTTGAAAAATATTCTTGGTGTACCTTTTGTAGAAGACATCTCACCGTTTCATTTTGAGTACAAAATTTAGGTAATACCAGATTTTCGACATATTTCAATAATTGGCATTAACTCGACATATCTATACAAATATTAATGGCGACGATATCGCAAATGTAATGAGAGTTGGTTGATTCAATAGATTCCAAAAATGAATGATCAAAGAAAAATATATTTAAATTAAACCCAATCTAAGGTATAATGATCACCCAAAGGGGATTAAATTTCTACGAAGAAAATTCTTTAGATATTACCACTTGGCAAGATTGCTACTTATTTGGGAAGGATGTGAGTATCGGATAATGTTCTTCGACGTAATTCTTAAGTTTCTAAGACGATAAATCAATCAAATAATTTTACCGCTAAAAACTCAGTTTATCGACTTGGGAATTCTGGGAATAAAACAGAAACATTGCGTCATAATGTATTAAAAGACAGAGTTCAAATTAATATTGAATTATTAACAGCTGAGGCTTCTATTCTAAAGAATACAAAAGTAGTGTAAATTTACTACACACTACTACATGCCTATCAAGACGACTTACGTTACACCTGCCAGACCAAAGCTCATTTAGGAAACACAGAAAAAAAACAGACTTCATGCGAAACATACCAGTAGAAAATACAAGCATAATACCTACACCCACATGTAAAAAAAGATTAAAAATAATGTAAGCCCTAAAAATAATAAAGTAAAAGTCAACACACTATAGCATGTATATATATATATATATATATATATATATATATATATATATATATAAATTCGGGAAAATGTGTGACAATGTGGAAAATCTTTACTTGTGACGCATTTCTTCATTCAGGACTTAATCGGACATAATTTGATATGTTGGTACGAATAACATGAGAAGAAACCAGGGTTCTTCGGACTTTTTATATTAAAGATTGTACATATATATATATATATATATATATATTATGCCATTCGCAAACAGTACTGTTTCGCTCTATCACAGCTCCTCATTGCGACAGAGGGACAACCGAATTCATCAAGCCTGGATCGATTCATTTGACTGAAGAGAATCGCATTTCCACGGGTGACCGTTGTTTTTCGAATTAGCTTGTGATTCATCAGTGCTCAATTAAAGATAACTTTTCAAGAGCTTACTTATGTCATTCGAAGACAGTACTGTTTGGCTGTATCGAAGCTCCTCATGCGACTAGACAACCGAAAGTCTAAATCCCGATATATATATATATATATATATATATATATATATATATATATATATATATCCGAATTCATTTAAATTCTTTTTTTTTTCTTTTCATCACTTTTCTTAGTAGATATTCCACACTATGATATTAGAAAATCTAACAGGAATGGTGAAACTTTTTAGAAGCCCGAGCGCAAATTTACTGTATATTACCTTGCGATCTAGGCACTTTATAGAAATTTACATCGTAGTGAATTGTTCAATATTGCTACTGATATATATATATATATATATATATATATATATATATATATATATATAGTTAGTTAGTTAGTTAGTTAGTTTATGAAAAACTAGGTAATCCGTATGGGTAAACTTAAGGAGGATAAAATCCAGAGAGCTCAATGTAAATTCAGAGCAACTATATATATATATATATATATATATATATATATATATATATATATATATATATTACGAAATGGACTATATCCGACAATTATTTTATTATAATTTCTGTTCATACGCTGTTTAGAGTTAAATTTATTAAGTAAAAGTCTGTTCATGATAAACAGTATTAATTAAATTTACTGGCCTGAGTCTTCGCTATATTTCGTACAAAATTCGTATCCTCGAAGAGGAATCGAAGCTGTATCCTACACAGAACCGTCATTTGGCCTGACGTGCTATACTATTTAGCTACAGATGAAGAAACAAATTACTATTTTTAAACAAATTTCCTACGATCAAAAAAACAGTCAGGCAAATTGATAGGTTTGTGTATGACACAGGTCGATTCCTGTCGGAAGACACATATTTTCCACGAAATATCTTAGACATTCAGGTGGGTAAATCTAATTAATGCTGTTTATTTTAAACAGAGTATTTACCTAATTAGTTTTATCTATAAAATATAAACATAAAATAGTAAATATATATATATATTATATATATATATATATATATATATATATATATATATATATATATATATATACATATAAATATATATATATATATATTAAATTAAATATTTATTTGCATATCTATATATGAACGTAATTGCACGTACGTATGGTTACTCTTATGTCTTTTTACTTAATATATATATATATATATATATATATATATATATATATATATATATATATATATATATATATATATATATATGAATATATATATGGAAATATATATATATGAATATATATATATATATATATATATATATATATATATATATATATATATATGGTGTGACGCACTTTCTACTTATTAAGCATTATCAGCAAATAATGTTTATGGCCATCAATTATGTATAGCTGTATAGAAAGTCTCACAGGTGGAAATAGATTGATATCTACATACATACACAAATAGACATTTCAAAGTAAATAAAAAGCGTAATTTCATGTAGGAATCAACACACGCTTTATTACAGAAAAGTTTTAAAAAAAAAAAACAACAATTATTTCACATTTCGTACAGAACAAAAATAAGTGTCATTTTTTTTTTAAATGGGACCTAATTTTGATGAATCCTAGTTTATAATGAGCCAGAATCAAACACATTCAACAGGGAACACTTCACTTTCTTCACGAGATTATGTATGAAATAATAATTATTCAAGAGCAAGAACCCAATTAGGCGATTTACTGATAATGATAGGAGCCACTAGTGGTATTTAGCTACCCGCCCACGAGGGTTGCATATGGCACAAGGCCGGGTTTAACGTGGGATTTCCGAAAAATGCCAAAATATTCCCTCTTTGAACCCGCATTAGCGGGTTCAGGTCAGTCAACCACCCCGAACGAGACTCTGCCCTTCGGCGGATCCTCGTCCGGGTTCCTATCCGCCCGAGAGCAGAGAGTTAGACTGTTACTTAGCAAATATTTTTGCCACTAGTATGTTCCTAAATGGTCTTGCCAGCCTTTGTCCTTTGCATCCTTCTGTACACTTGAGGAGCCTGGACTTTGTATTATCAGTGCATCAAACGTCTAGAACGGTACCAGCAAACGAACATCCGACGAATCAGTTAAGATGACCGCATCACCAACAAAGAGGTCTTCTCTCGAATATCTCTAACCAGCATTGAGGCTACTATCTGTCAGCATCACCTCCGATGGGTGCGTTACGTGTCCAGAATGTGTCCCACTCGACTCCCACGTATAATCCTGTTTGGAGAACTCGGCAAGAGGCTACGCGAGGACCCAAGACGACGCCACAAGGATCAGGGGAAAACATCCATGACACAAGCCAACATCGAACATGACACCTGGGAAATCGTTGCTGCAAATCAGACTTCCTGGGTTAGAAGCATTTGGGTAGGGACTGAGACTTTTGAGTCAAGCCGTCAACATGAAGTGAATCTGCGACGTGCTGTCACGAGGGCCCGACTCACCCAGCAGCGTCCACCACCCACACTTCATGACTCTTCAAGAGTAGGCTTGGCCTTCACGGCCATCTGCTTCGCATAAATAAAAGAATAAAAAGAGAGAGGACAATGATCCCGATGCCCAGATGTGAGCGTACCCGACGACATCTAGTCGACAGCGGTAGTAGTTGCGTCTATTTTTTTCTTTGTTTTTTTAAATTGAGGTACAACATTTTGGAGTTTTGGCACACACCATACTCACCAGATTTAGCACTTCGAGATTATCCATCTGATTAAACATCAGATTATCCAGAAACCGAGAGTATTTCCACACAGATTTTTAAACATTTTTACACGAAACAGAAAAACATATTCAATTAAAAAAAACATATTCATATTAAATAATATTCATATTAAACAATGAATCAAACATTTACCTACCAAGTGGCTGCAGTCAGCTTTATAAATACTTTTTACATAAATTTAACTTAGTTTTTTTTTTTTTTATATTCTTTCTGGTAAAACGACATTAATTCCTGAGCATACTAGAATAACATCCGCGTGTTGTCTAGATCGTTGATTAAAGTGACTTGAAAAGGGTGAGGTCCGTTTTGCTTTTTGGGAAAAATATATGAAGATCAATAATAATGTGTTTACTAGGAAATAAAGAAATAAATCAAGAAAGAAAATAGTAAGTAAATTGTAAGAAAAAACAGAAATCAATAAAATTTTAATCATCGGAGATTTGTTTTTTGATTATCCATTGGTGAGGCTTTGTGTGTGAATTAATATAAGTCTTCATGTAAATGCTTCCACTTTTCCACTAAAAAAAAGAGCACAGTATGTTAAAAGTTGATGAAAACAAAGTTTTATAGTCAAAATGTTTATGTTACTATCAAGAGGAAAGACCAAAGTATTTTGTTTTATTATTCTATTAATTTTTTTTTAAATCTTTTCTATCACGTTCGAAAATTTAGTCTTTTTTGCTGGAATAAATTATTATGAAAATTCTTACAAAAATCAATTTTTTTTTTCTTGAGAAATTATACTTCGATCCGAATATTTTTATATTATTTGAAAACAGGGCTCCTTGGAGAATGTAAATCATTTTTTTTTCAAACCGTTACTCATTTACCAAAAATCTCCTTCGAATCATAAAATAAAAAAAAATGCAATAAAACTATGATATTATTTATTTAGAAAGCGTTTAATTGTTTTTGGAAATAAATCATATCAATGACACAACTGTCTTAAGAAAAAAAAAAATCTTTGAATAATAAATTTTGACAAGAATTGTTTTCATTAAAAAAGGTAATTATATTAATAATAATAATAATAATCATAATAATGATAATAATAATAATAAATTGTTATTAAAGACCACAAACAAAAACGGTGCCTCCTTGTTGATATGGCAGTCCCTGCTGACTGCAATGTATCTTTGAAGATATTCAAAAAGTTGTCAAAGTACAAGGACCTTGAAATAGAAATCTCGAAAATGTGGCATATGGGAACATCAACAATCCCAGTTGTAGTTGGAGCCCCAGGACTGGTTGGAAAAAATTGCAGTAGCCTAATTGAAGGGATTCCTGGAAGTCCATGTCTCAAGGAGATACAAAAAATTGTTCTGACAAAGTACAGCCCACACTTTATGAAGGGCTTTATCTATAATTTTCTTTTCCTTTTTTTTTTTTTTTCTAACCTTAAGTCCCTAGGCGGAACCCGGAAAGAAATGTGTAAACGCCAGAAATCAAAGGAAATAATAATAATAGTATAGTTTAAATTCTTTTCAATTTCTGCACTAATTTGATCTCGTTAGGTGATATTTTTATTAAGTAGAAAGAATATTTACAGATCACAAATTGAAAAGCTTAGTAAAAATCTTTATAAAATAATTTCTAATACTTCAGTGTATAAAACGTGCCTATTTTTCTAAGTTGACCTATACGACATTATCGGAAAATAAGAGCGATGACTAAATTTAAAGTCAACATTTCTCAAATTTACTAAAACATTAGTTTACGGAAATTTTTTTCCCAAATTTTTCCCATTACGCTGTACTTAAAAATGATATAAAACAGGCTCTCATGTCATTTTCTTAAGCTATGTTTTATAGATAAGTTCATCACCTCGTCAAAGACGTCAACATAGTGACTGTTGTTTAAAACACGGCTACTGTTGGTTTAAAGAATTTATTTCTGCGATTTTTTAAACTTAAAATAAATATTTGTTTTAATTCAGATTAATTATACTTTACATCGGCTAATATTCCTCAAATAAATTTTCAATAAAGTTTATTTTATTTTTGCAAGATTTTTAAAACCGTGAACTAACTTATGCTTACAAATATCTCAAAAATGAACGACTCTGACGATGTTACTGAAAAAAAAATATAATTGATTCCAATCTATATAATTTCTATTTAAAATACGCCAATGTATTTTGTTTACTGGAAAGAGTAAATGTAATCCCCTAGCTTTCAATTAAAGCAAAAATGTATGCTTCAAGAAAGGTTTTTCATTTTTTAAAATTAATTTAAACATTAGGTATCGCTATTTTTGTGAAGGTGCCAACGTGTATGTCTCCGTATAGGTCGTCGTGTGTCACACTTTGTAGGAGAGGTACTTTTCGCTTTTCTGGTTGTTCTCCCTGATGATTTCTTTTAGTAAACAACGGAAACAGTAAAGAAAAGAAAACTATAATTAGCATTCTAAAAGATAATATTAGGATGATAACTGATAAAAGGAATACTTTTGTAGGCTTCATTTTTTTTTTCCATCGCTTCCAGACGTCTGCCTTGCTGAAATCGGAATCAATTGCTGGTTTTGCCGGCGAAAACATTTTATTTATTTTCTTTCTTACTTAATTTTCCTCCTTTCAAACGGCTTCTAAACCTGATTGTCTGTCTGACATCAAGCCTGGTACAAATGTCTGCCATTTTATATTTTCATATTGTATAGAACTTGAAGACTTACCTGAAACACAATTTACTTCGCGAAATTAGATAGAAGTTTCTATGATGAAATTATGCCACGAATTATATTTACCTTGGCAATTTTGTTTTTAAACAAATGACGTTTGAAAATACATTAACTCAAAGGAGCCGAATTTGGCTCTATTATCTTGCGACATGTTCATAAAAGATTTTGTGTAAGTATTTTTCTTTTTATATAGGTGCAGGCTTTTGTATATACAATGTCGTAAGAAATGTTATTACTTCTTAAAATTTGAACAAATTACGAAATATGATTTTGTAGGAATCTTTTCTGCGTTGGGCTGAATTTTTTTCAGCAACAACTGCCGAAGAAGCGATGCAGGAAAATAGTCATGGATACACACACACACACACACACACACACACACACACACACACATATATATATATATATATATATATATATATATATATATATATATATATAATCATAGGTTCTACGACGCGTCGTATATTATCCACCCCGGATAATTTCACCTTCACTATTAAAATAAGATCTGCTCCGTAAAGCTCATGACATGTGGAGATTGTGCCATACAAGAGAGTACTGTTTGTAAATATGTTCAGACGTGAATATCTTCTTTTTTTTATCAGGACGACCTTTAATATTCCGGTAGACATACAATTTTGATGGGGGATCAATTCAAAGCGCTGATTAAAAATAATCCCGTGCCATTAGACTAAACACACACTCGCTCGCGCGCGCGCACACACACACACATATACACAGACACACATACGCACCGACGGAAAATTTAATTCCGGTCGAGCACTCTGAAATAAAGCGCGAATTTTTAAACAGTGACTACTACTAATCATACTCTTCCATAAATTGAACCCTCTCCGTCATTGGCGTGTTTATTCGAACAATAAGTACATAAAGATCCGCCTTCCTCTCTAGCGGGCGCTGATAGCTGATCGCTGACTGATGTCAAATCAGTTGGGTTTCGATCCCGGATATATATATATATATATATATATATATATATATATATATATATATATATGAAGAAATATTGTCTTAAGATGTGCTATATTTATGGGATAAAGTGTTCAATATCAGAGATAGAGCGTGTGTAAATATAAAAGTGAACATGGAAGTCAACACTTAGAGGCGACAGTCTGCTTCATGCAATATGCAATCGTCAGGCCACGTGTGCTGTTATTTTTCTCGGCTATTTATATATATACTGGTCAGTGGTGCATTGTGGGTAGTCTATTATGGCGGTTATTTTACCGGAAGTCGTTTATTTATTTATTTGGGTTAAATTATTTTGCTTATTTTTATTTTTTGTTTCTTATTTTATTTATTTATTTATTTAATCGGTGTTTTTATTAACGTAGTAAAAATTTGTTTATATCACTTATTTAATATTTTTTTTTTTTGGTTTGAGAATTTAATTAAAGCTATTTGTTCGGTTTTGGGGGTGATTTTTATAGTTTATTCTAACTATTGTTTTGGCAGGAACAGTTTTTAATTTGTGTTTATTTCGGTTGATTATCTTTATTTGTTTTTTCTAACGGTAACTTTATCGGGATTGGTTTGTTTATTTATTTACTTGGATGAATTTAGGTCAATTTATTTTACTTGTATATTTTCTCTTTTCGGTTTTTGATTTTTAAGTAACGTAGTATTTATTTATTTATTTTTTATTTTTATTATTTTTTTTTTTATCGTTATATAACAGTTATAGGTATTTTTTTCGTCCGATTTTTTGTTTCGATTTATTAGTCTAACTAATATTTTGGTCATAATGGTTTGCTAATTTGTTTATTATTTACTTTATTTATTTGGGTTCGTTTTTTTTTTTTTTTTTGTTATCATTATTATTATTCTATTTCGTCTATTCTAACAGGTGTGATTTGGTAATGTGTTTGGATTAATTAATTTTGCTTATTTTCTTGTTATTTTGTTTATTTGTTTATTTATTTGTTTTATTTTATTTTTTCCGTTTTCAATTTTTAAGTAACGTAGTAAAAATCATAAAATGCTTCCTGTATCCATTCATTTCGAAGTCCTGACATCTACAACAGATGAGGTTGAATGCTTTGATTGGAAATGCTCTTCCAACTCAACACTCGACTCAGTTGGAGTACTCATACTTGATTTCTCCCCTAGAACAAAGACTCTACTGAGTTATATGCACATAACCCCGTCACTGGTTTTGTTCACCATTAGATTATCATAAGTCTAGCGGAGGTGACCGGAGTCCCAGCTGTTGTCTTAAACAAATATGTTCTGAAGCCGTCAGATCTCTCCAATCTCTACAGCTATTGTCACGCTGCTTCCTATTTTCCAGCTTGCTGGTAGTCCTCCTCTGTACGTCCTGTCTTTAAGAATTCTGGCGAACATTCTTACCCTTCCACCTATCGCCCTAATAGTCTTCAACCGTTTTTTCTCAAAGTATTCGAGGCTTTAATCAATGCTGAAGTGGTTAAGCATTTTACTTCTCACGACCTATTCTCTGACAAACTATATGGCTTCCGTTTAACAGATCTACCACAGATGTGCGTACTCTGTTCAAGTGGAGAAATCAAGTGTGGCTACTTGAAAAAAATCGGGTGTTGAGTTGGAAGAGAATTTCCGAGAAAAGTATTCACTGAATATGTATATCAAGCTCTTGTTAATAACGGCGAAACTCGAGCTGTAGCTCTAGATATCTCATAGGTATTTGACAGAGTTTGACATGCTGGTCTTCTACGTAAGCTTCGACGACTATTGTTTGATTTAATCTAACCATTCCTATGAAATCGTGAAATGAAGGTCGTTCTTAATGGGCTCGCTTCCAGATACTTGCACGCGAACGTGTGTGCCCACCCCCAAGGCTCTATCCCTTATTTCTAATCTCCATCTACGATCTTCCTGTTGTCATTAGTTCCCAAGTAAGCATTTATGCAGACGACACTGCCATTCACTCCTGTCTCAATAGCAAATCCGTCAGAGCTGACAAAGTTTACCTGGCCACTGCTCTTGAAAACAAACACTAATCCGTGCTTAACTGGGACAGGAAATGGCTTGTAAATTTTAACCAAAAACGAAATTGCTCCAATTTAACCACCATATATTAACTTGCCTGCTCGCCATCAGCATGGTTGATACTCAACTCATGGAGAGCAAACATATTGTAGTGTGACACGCAAACTCACTCTACACATTTCTGACCATAGCTCAATTAGATCTCATTCAAATATTCCTGGAGACCTACCGGACACTATTCGTAACATACTTGTTGACAACACTAATATAATAGCATTATCTACATGCAAAAAAAGCTAAAAATTATGGAAGCCTTATTAATAAAACAAAAAAAACAACACTTAATACTATTAGCTTTGAACATGGACACAATATCTTGTTTTGAAAAATAAAAACATTTTATAAAACATACATGCAAGAAACTATTTCTTATTTAACAGTTAAACGCAGTTATACACACATAAATAAGAAAAAAATTAACCAATAAAAGGAAAAAGCGGATAGATTATTTTTAACTTGATTTAAAATGAAAAAATCGGTAGACAATTACTGAAAACTCCTGCTGAGTGGACGGCAGGATTAGAAAAAGGTTTGTCTACGAATCTCTGGAGTCGGGTTGTTGAATATAACATCAATCAGATAGGTTTCAAACTATATATTTCTACTAATCCTATTAATCCTCTATCTCTGATATCGAGCACTTCATTGAAAAGACTGCTTGCCTTAAATCTCCTTTCTTTCACACTTCCACCGACTGACAGCGTTTCTGGCTTTACAATATCTTTGATATTCCTCTCTCTCTCTCTCTATATATATATATATATATATATATATATAGAGAGAGAGAGAGAGAGAGAGAGAGAGAGTTTAGATAATAAAACCCACCGAACAGACTACTGGGACTAACGCCTTCAATACGAGTAGATTTTTGCAAACGAAGTACCCAGTATTAGAAAATAGAGAAATATATGTAACAGATAGTTTTGTAGAGACGTAGTTCCGCTTGGTAGAGTAAAATAAATATTTCATTTTTCTGTAGTTCAGTTATTTAAATGAGATAACGATTAATGAATCCAATTTACCCTGATACACAAAACCCCAAGTCGGAATATGACATTTGAACTGTATTTATCTTCCGTATGTACTCGTGTAACGCCCAGTCTCGCGTATCGTACAAACTTCCAATTTTTCACTTATAAAAAAATTATTTTATCATGTATCTCGTGTATCATGCGAGCTCCTATTTTTGAGAGACCAGATTACAGTAGACTCTCCTCTTCTAGTGAAATAGGTTGAAAAAGTAAAAGTGAACGATAAAAGTATGGTTAGTAACGTTATACTTGTTGCTTAAGCATGTACAGTCGTAAACAACCGAACGAGAAACAGCTAAACATTTTATAAATGTAAACAATGGAAAAGATACATATTCTTTCTCTCTGTTTGTATTTTATCATACGATACTAATATGTGAAAATTCCATGCATCATTATTGATACAGTTAAGAAAAATATCAGTTTTATCAAAATTGTGTTTATGTTAAATACGGCTATACATTTTGACTGTCGTAATTGGATATATAATTTGGTCAACGGCGTAGCCAGGGCCAACAGTACATACGCTAATTTCATATCTCGTGTATGACACGACCCCCTTAAAATTAACTTCAAAATTAGGTCTTCAAAAAAAAAAAAGTCGTATGATACGCGAGTATATGCAGTATATAGTGTAACCCGGATATAAGAGAGTTGTCGGGACCGGAGAAGAAGTCTCTTATATCCGGGTTTCTCTTATATCCGGGTTACACTGTATAACAAATCAACCTATAAGAATAATTTTGGAAGTTACTTGGCCAAAAAATGGGGGATGAGCTTAATACTAAACAAAAATACAAAACTGACCCCTCACTTTCTATCATCCTTT